TGACTTTTAAAATATGGGTCCCCAGAAAAAAAATTGGGAAACACTGCTGTAGACTGTATGGAGCAAAAAGACAGTAAGCACGAACAATTGAGGGTATAACAAACTCTTGCACATGCACATGCTTATAATTGTGATTTCAGAATAGAGTGCTTCACTGGTAACAGTAGCATTGTTCACCAGTTCTTCTGAATAAATGGTCCAGTCTCACCCCTGTCTGCATTCACTAATGCTCTAATGTACATCACACTGCACCAGTCGCATATGATTAGCACACAAAACAGGGCCGATTGATCATTAGTGCATCAATATGCAGTTTGCATTAAATTATTTCCTTTAAATAGTCTATGGTTGAGGTGACACAGGGAGCCTTATCAATAATGCAAATGGTTCACTGGGGAATATAAAGTCTGTCTTTGGTAATGCCCAATACAGAATTCACTGTCATGCAGGCTCCTCAGTGCATAATCATATTTTGCTTGCATTTCTCTTCAACATACTATGTCCATTTGGAAGAATTCATATAATTTTGAAAAAATAATGTAACTTTAATATATGACTTCTTAAGTATTATTTCCACTTTGATTGGGCTTTGACTGACATTTGGGTATAGTTGTCCAAGTCAGTACATTGCTTTTACTTATTGGTTAGGATACAAGTGAACTCAGAAATGCATGTATATTTGGATCACAAAATATTTTTGGATATTGTTTTGGTGAAGGTACCGTGAAATGGATTTGTTGAGAACTGATTTTCAAACACTCAAACCACAAATACAGTAAATCTGCTATACACTACTGCATGATAACACTTGTTACTGTGCATAATTTTCTTTTTATTGCGGAATTTGATGATGAAAAAGTTTCCGTTTCGAAGTAAAATGTAAAAGTGTGAGTTTTATGTGACTGTGTTTCACTCATTCCCTGAGCTCTGCATCATCTGTGAGTGCAGGCACACAAGGGGGTTCGTTAGCCTGCTATTACAGATGTGACAAGTGCGCTATAATAGCCCAATTATCCCAAAATGCCAAAAATTCACTCCAAAGGAAAGGGAGTGTGTTGTGATTAATGGTAAACACTTAAGGGGAAGAGTCAGACATCGCGGTTGGATAGGAGGAAATATGGATCAAGCTGCCACAACTACAGATGCTTCCTCCCTCCTGACAACTGCAATTCATTTGAGATACTATTAACATGCATAATTATGCTAATCAAGCGGTAATTAAGTGCTAAATCATCAGAGACCATTTTTTTGTCTCTAATTTTATCAAGGGTGGTTGTCAGTGTTTCTTTCTTTGCATATTTTATTACAATATTCCTCAAATTAGCTGTTCATATTCTGTCACATCACAACTTTGTCTTTGCTTGTTTTTGAAGGCTGTGAACAGGTAAGGGTCCATTTCAGGTTTTTTACATACTATTATTGTACAGATCCATGATTGTATATTATATTTCAGAATAGTGTTGAATATTTAGTAATCTATTGTAAGATACATTCTATAATAATGTATGATGCTTAAAGGTGCTGTACCTGATTAAAAGCGTGAAAACCAGAACTAGTTAATTGCAGTAGCCCAATTATTCCTCACTTACCTTATGCAGTCCAAGCATCCTAATTATTCACTTTGATTAGTTTATAAGCACTTTTCATAACTCAGAGACCAGTGTAGAGTTTGGCCATGATGGTAAATATAACCACAAACATGCTAATATGCACCTCCTGATTAGGGCAATAAAACAGCTTTATAATTAGATACAGACAGCAAGCAGCGGACATTTTTTGCTCTCAAGAACTGCTTATGCTATATATTTGTACTAGGCCAGGACATATTTTACACAAATACATAGGAAAAACTAACGCTTTCATTTCATCCCAAAAGCCTTTCCTGAGCCTCCCCTCTGACTCTTACTGTATTGTACTGTACTGTATTGTGTTGGTTTATTTGTTGTGTCCGTAGCTCTGTGCTAGTCCCCAGAGTGAGACAGGTGTTCTCATTGGACGTGAAGGCCTCTGGTGAGTCGTGTCACTCTGGATCATAGCTGATGTCTCCTGGAGCCACACAAACTGCTGCCATCGCCCTGACAACCACCTCTTTGGGCTTCAGCACTTTTGTCATATTTTCAGCAGTCGGACAAATTGTTCAGACTTTACCTTCAGCACCTATAACATACCTCTTTTATCACTTGTTTGAAACACTTTGAGCAGTGAGACAATAGTGCTGCTTGTTTTTTGCTTTTTCATGTGACATTCAGTGGTCTCTGTGTAAAGCACCGTCGATGATGACCTTTATGTTTTATGGTAATTTATGATAAGCCCTAATAAGCATTTCTATGAAATGGTAGCAGTATTTCATCTGATTTTCCCTCTTCCAGACAAAGCAATGGATTTAAAACAGACATTTAACCAAGCATTTTAAGTCTGGCTTAAACTTGCTTCAGTTGCAATCATACATCATTCCTGTTTAAATCAAGTGTCTCAAGTGAACCACCGAGGTACAAAAAACTGCAGAGTGTGAAAAACAATTGCGATCACGTTTTTATACTTCTTTCTGCTGATTAAAAGCGTAAAGGTGCAGTGTGTGACTTTTCTTTTGAAGGGACCACCACCTTCTTTTCTCCATGGAGATGTTATTACTCTCTCCGGAATGTTTCACAATATGGCATTATCCCGTTCTATCATCAGGTCAGATCTGTCCTAATCAGTATGAAAGATCTGATTTCTGTTAAATCTAGACCCATGCTGTTTACAGATCAGCTTCATGCCCGGAACAAAAAGCCAAAGGGGGAATTGCCAAATTGTAGACGGCATACTACTACTACTACTACTACTACTACTACTACTACTACTACAGTTTTCGACTCCAATAATAAATACATTTGATACAATATGTTAGTTTCTAGTTGTATATATTGCATAGGCCTACACATGTATTTAGTATTTGAGGCTACCACACCCTAAATAGAAGTAGATAGATTTTATTTGTTTTTGTCTGTTGCAGTGCAGCTCTGTCTGACTGTCCACGCTCATCTGAGTTTTTTATAGAGCAGAAGGAGCAGCTCTTGTGACAGCAGCACGTCAGGGTCCCCTCACAGCCCACCTCCTCCTCTGAGCCAAAAAGACATCAGTACAGTCACATACCTGTCAGAGCCAACGGGTACCCCCACATCTGATGCACTGTACTAGTACACAGCACATGAAGTACTCTAATACGGAATATGTTCTGTTGCCAAGTTAATGACAAGAACAACCAGTGACATCATATAAAAACACAATTACGCTTCACTAAAGACGTCAGAGTGAGTCCATAGATCACACAGACAACGTGTAGACTGTGGCTGCTCGCACCATTCAAACAAAAGACTATTATGGAGTAAACTATAGAAATGAATGGGTGAGAGAGGGGTTGCATCAGATTTTATTGATGATTTATTGAAATATCCTGACAATCACGCCGGGAGAGTGACGTGTAATCATGAGTAAAGGGCCTGCAAATTATTTATGTATTGCCAGGCACCATCATTTACTTTCACTTTTTTCATCAGGCGTCATTAGCGACTAACCTGGAAACTCATAAATGTCAGACTAGCTTTCTCTTAATTAAATCAGCAGATATCATATTGTGAGGAGGCCCGTCACTCACTGTGCAGCTAAGTGATTTAAGACTAAAACATTAGCGGAGAGCCTGACACAAATAATAACTGTTAAACTGTCAGCGCGCGCAGGCCGGAGCACATTACTGGAATTAGCAGAGATTATAAACAATGGCCATGCTTTCTTAATGCATGCAATCAGATGGATACGCACGTATAAGAGAACTAAACACAAGGCATTTACATTCTTTAATCGTATAGTAGGAGTAGTTTTACTTCAGTATGCACAGTACCTATATACTTTACTCTTGACTGTACAATTATGTTGCATGTTTTTGTTACAGGCTACTTCTCAAATGCTATATGTAACATAGGAGCTAAATGATATAGATAGTTTCACTTATTAAAGCACTGTGTTTCAATAACTCAGGGCAATACAAGCAGGGAATTCACAGGCAACAGTGACCTCTGCTGGAGTTTATTGTTTGTAACGTAATGACTCATAAGACGAGACAACGTAGCCCATAACTTACATCATAATTATTTAATTTATAACAGTTTTGTGAAGATAAGTATTTATTAAGCAAATTGAAATTCACTGTGCAACAGTTTTACATCTAAGAATCTAACCTTAATTTGACCTGGAGGATTCTTGATATAAAATTATTTTTTAAAGGAAATCTTGTCAAGATACACATCGATAACCAAAACAACAACAACATACAAAATAAAAACAAACTTAAAAAGGACTGAGTTGCTTAAGATGTGTTTTTTTCTTTCTTTTTTTTTTTTTTTTTTTTATTGCTTTTTGTCAGATTACTGAACAAGGGTGTTGTTTCAGTTTACACCGCTGTGTAATGCATTGCAGCCACTGTTTATAGCAGGCGTGAGCGTGAGTAGTCCTTCGCGTAGATGTATTCTCGTGTGCTACTCTAAGGCTGAGTACAGACCATAACACAGAGTGCAGCTCAGAATAATAGTTGATAAATAACACAAGAGTATGTTTACAAGCAGAATGAAAACACCTGGACCTTCTGGAGGCTCATTTTTCCATTACCTATCAGTTGTTTAAATGTAAGATTTTCTGTTAAAGGAGCAATAGAGTGAATGAGTGAAAGGGGCAGAGGTTAAATCCGTATCATCAAGATGTAATTACTTGGCCACACAACGTTTGTTGTTGGTCTGTGCTACCAAAATTTAAGATTTTGTTAACTTAAAAAAATATATAAAGGCAGTGCTATTAGTCATAATAGACTGGGGTGCGTGTGTTTGTGTGTGCGTGCGTGTGCGTGCAAGGGGTTGGGTGTGATTGCCTTGTTAAGTAATGGCCACTAGAGGGCAGCAAAGTCTTGCCTTTTCTTATTTAACAATGACTGCGTCTATATTTATTGAAATTTGTCTAAAACACAAATATTCCATGACACGTACACGTTTATTCAAAAAAAAAATGTCTTAATAGATTTACAATTTCATAAAGGTAGTGCAGTGTTAGTGACATGTTTTAAGTCATTTACATTCAAACTACAAAAAAATCTGCTATACTTCAGTTGATGCAAAAGCACAAAATAAGTACATGATTTGTGGAATCTGACATTATAAGGAATGCAATTACCAACTTTGGGGCAACAGCTTGCTACAACATTTAGAAACATTGGTTAGTTAAGATTCTGTCATTGGGCTGTTTTGTATATTTCATTGGATTCCTTCGTTGTCTGTACATCATTTAATTTACAATGAGGAAACCTGAGAACTAAAAACAGATGCACAGTGAACACTTGCACACATTAGGACCACTCAAGTATTGGCCCATAAATTTAAATGTAACACAATTTTTTTGACTACGGTAATTCAGAAATATTTACCTGTACAACAATACATAGAAGTGCTAAACACAACATTCAGAAACAACCAACTGTCCAGTTGTATAAGTGATGACGATGATGATGATGATGATGATGGTGGTTGATGAAAATCACCCTGAGGGCTTGATCCCATTGGGCCCTCTCCTTTCTGAACTGGGGCTGACCCCTCTATCTGCTGCTGGGGGGCGAGAGTGTCCGTTCATTGTGTGAGCACTTGTGTCTATAGGACAGATGTATTCTGCTGAATCATCTGGTTTCCTCTTCCGCAAGTGACTGAACTGAGTGAAGCCCAGCTTTTTAGGCTATGGACAGAAAGATGTTTAATTATTTATAAATTGACCATGTATAAAGTATTTGAAATTCTCACCTTGACTTTGGCTGTTGTGGTGAGGGGCATATGTCCTGTTGCGTTCCCATACTCTCTCTTCTCCTGTGCAGCCTGAGGACCCACCAGAGTGGAGAAGGCTGAGGCTAGGTGCCTGCGCAGGAGGGTCTTCTGAGGGGGGATGTTAAGAAGCAGAGCCAGGGTCTCTGCTGTGAACCGAGGCTCCAATATCTGTGACAGAAAAAGATGTAATCCCACACAAATCATGTGACCAAAACAGTGGAATATTCACATGTGCATGTACTTACAATGAGGCCACCATGGACCCCGCTGCCTCGGAGATTAGGAGCATACTCTGCCAGATCTACTGCTCTAAGCCACTCCATTACACGGTGGTTGGACCACTGCACCACCTCCGAAGGAGAGGACTGTTTCTGAGGGGTAGGCATGGGGGTATTTTGACATACTCTTTGTTCTTTATCTCTGTAATAACATTCAGTGTGATTTTTACCTCATCCCCTGGTCGCCGCCTTAAACAGGAGGGGTTGAACTTGTTGACATGAAGCACGTGAATGGCACATTTAATACTGAGATGATGGAGTTGGCTGGTGACCTTTAGGATTAAAAGGTCATTCTGAGGAACAGAAAATATACCACAATGAAATACTTTTTATGGTCTACATTTAATCTGTTAATAGGACTAATAAGCGCTTTGTGTTGCATTTTTTTTGTATGAAAAGCGCTCTATAAATAAAGTTTGATTGATTGACTGATTAAAGACTCAAAAAGTGCTTACCACTGTGAGGTACTGCAACACCCGCCCATCTACTCTGGCCTCATGGAACTGGTCTTTGTACTGAGGCAATCCAATGTCATCCAGCCAGCCTGAGAATTCATCACATACAAGAGATTCCTCACACACTGACAAGAAAGCACTTCTGTCTTTTCAAGTTCAAGCCATTTGTTACTGCTGTATTTGTCATTAATGAATGACTGTTTGAAAACTGCTCAACTTGGTTCCAGTAACATTTTCACAAGCATGCATAAAATATTCACAACAATACAATAAATCCTCTTACGAGTGACCCAAATGTGATCTAGCTCTGACGACTTTTCGATTGTTTTCGTGCTGAATGCATTCAAAGCCAGCTGCAGTTTCTTCCTATGAAGTGGGTTTTTCATTCCCATCTCCTGAGGAAAGAATAATTCAGGTACAAAGAAATGTCATATTTTTAAAAGTTACAGTTTCTGAATGCCTTGCCTTCTCCAAGTCATGTGGTGTGGCAGAGAGCAGCGTCTGTCCGTTTTCGATCCACTGTCTGGTGAGGTTTATGTAGTGTCCCAGTCCTGAGTCTTCCAGCCAACTGCATACCTGCTCGCGACTCCACTGCCCAAACGGAGTGCTCATGTCACTGAGGAGAGCAGACATAGATTTAAGCAAGATATAGTTTGCACACATGGAAAGGAACTACTTTTTGAGTAGATTTTTAAACATATATTTCTACTTGTAATTTAATATAATTCTAGCATGTACTTATAATTTGTTGCATTTAAAATGACAGTAGTTACTAAATACAATACTAGTTCCAGTTGTCCAGATGCTCAGGGAGTAAAAAAATATGAAGTTCAGCTTTAAACAATTTAAGTCATTCAGTACTGTAAGACCTTTTAAAAAGTAACAATATTAACTAGTCCTTTGAGTAGTATTTCTTCTGCATACTTTATACTTTAACATTAGTCTAAATTTGGCAGCATTACTTATACCTGTAAAGTTCAGCCTGTACACATTTGCAGTACTCTTTCCAGCATTGTTAGCTGTCATAGTTTGGTGAGAGGATTCTTACCGCGGATAGTCATGTGACTCTGGTGTGCGGGTCAGTCTAGGTCCTGCAGTAGCTCTCAGTCCTCCTCTTTGGAAAACACTTAGTTCAGAATCACCAGCCTGAAACCCTCCAGACTGAGTCCTACGCAGTCTGAGTGGGCGAGAACAAAATAACATCTTATTGTGCGCCAGTAAATTATATATTAATCATGAAATATCTTGGAGCAAATGTAAATGTAGTTTGCTAATCAAAATAATACATGGTTAGTCCTGCATTTCCTACATGTCGGAAACACAGCAAAAGCTCTCAAAAAACAATCTTGATACACTTTCTAAGTCGTTAGTTGCATGAGACTTACTTTCCCCAAAATCGCTTGAAGCTTCTATTATTTTTCATGTACTCTGGTGAACCCACAGTTCGATGACCAGTCTGAGAACTTGTCCCAGAATGCACTGAGAGGCTTTCTTCTGTTTTGTCTGTCTTTTCTATAACAAACACAAAAGTACAATAATGCAGACCTCAAAAGCCATCTCTGTAAACTATATTGTCCTTGATGTGTGATCTGCACTAGACTCAGTGGTTAAGTTTGCATACACACTGCCTTCAAAAAGAAAGCTTAAACAAGTTTAAATTTCTTGGTGAGTTTCTTTTAAGCAAAGCTACAAAATAGACAAGCTATGTATATATATTTTTATTAATTATATTGCCTTTGGACAAACTGTTTTGCAGCTGTGTTTTTTTCATGTGTATTTTTATGACCAAAGCCTCTGCCTCTCTGCTGCATGAGTTAACCCAGCAGAACACAGGGAGGGACTTGAGGTAAGGCTGGTCAGTTAAATCGAGCTTGGGTGTGGTCTGGAAGAGTGTGGTCCATCACAGCTGAAAGAGGAGTGAGAGGAGAGGAAGGAGAGAGAGAGGGTGTGTTTGCTATCCCGTGATTCCCCTGCTCTGTCTAGCTCTCTGCAATTAGCTGAGATCAAAGAAACAGTGGTCTTTAAGGCAGAAGAGGAAAGGCTCTGCTGCAAAACTAGCGTAAAGACTGTCCCACAAAAAAGTACAATCAATGAGAGGGTATGTTAGTGAGAATGATCCATCATATCATGAAATAAAAAGCTGCGGTTAGCTTCTGGGTTTACTTTGGACTGAGTCTCCGTCCACACTCCCATCTGGAGACTTCTGGAGTTCACTACTGCTGCTCTCCATGCTGTTGACCTCCATCTTGTTTTGGCTGTCGCTCTGAGCTGACTAGACAAGAAAAGGTAAAAGAAAAAACACTACAATCAAGCATTTAAATTCCATTGCATGAAAGTTTGAATACATATTTTCATGTATGTTTGAAAAATGTCACCTTTTGTGAAATAGTGGATACATTTGATGAGGGCAGTGGTTCTGTTCTGTAAAGGGAGAACAATGGGTCTAATTACTGATACATTCTTATATGCCTGTTTTCCATAACTGAATATCCTTATAGAATAACTTGCAATAATAATAACTTACAATCATTTATAAACCTACAAGACTCAATTAAAACAATATTTCCTGCCTCATTGTAAATTATGTAACTATTATACTTGTATTATACAGACAAAAGCTGTCCTTCCGACATTAAGCTTGGAGTGTTATTTGACAGGATTATAGAAGCTCAGCTTTATTGTTCAATAGCATTTGGGTTGTAGGGCATGCATCCTGTATAACACACTCCCTGTGTGACATGATTAGTGAAAAGGCTGGTGATGTTTTGTTTTTTTAGACTAAGGCTTAGGGTTAAACCTCCTTTCAAACTTATCAACTGATTTGTTCTTACCTGCTAACATCATCTTTGTGTACTGACCCAAGTGATGTCTGTTGAGAGGAGGAACTGTTTGTGGAAACCTAAAGTCAAAAGAATTGAAAATTTGAAAAATGTTTTAGAATATAAGTAATGTTTGTGCTTTATACACACTTCTGATTTTAGGTCTTCAGAGTGCACACTGGCTAAGTCAGCAGTCCTCTCTTCTTCACTGCTTATCGATGATGTCCTCCCATTTAGAGATGAATAAACAGCAGGGGGAGCTGTGGCCAAAACCAAAAGAAACCCAGTGTTATATGAACAGCAGAATGATGATATATGTTGCCCATATAATGAAGTATAAAATGTATCAATTCCCATTTACCAGAAATATACCTTTAAAAAGATTAGATATGGGCAAAAAACACTAGGTGAATAATATAAAAACTACATTATATATATATATACACACACACACACACACACACACACACATATATATATAAGACTATTGCACATACTCTTTTCATTGGATATTGAATTTGTCCAATGAGCTTGTAAAAATCCCTGCTCACTATTCTGTTTAAAAAAACATATAGCTTCACACAGTGTAAGAACACAAACAGAAAGCACCCTGTCTCGTGGAGTGAGGCGTCTCTCTGAACTTGCATTGATTCAGCAGTAGAGTGAGTTCTTCAATACGCCGGTCCTGCACAGAAAGAGATGAGGGTCAGTAAACCCAATTTGGATGTTTATCTAAGGTTAAAACTACACACTTGGGCTACTTCCTTCACTCTATTACGTCCCAATAATCAGTTATGTTAGCGGCTCTCCCCTCACCATATGGCTCTTACATCAAAGCTGAGGTGAGGGCTTGACTTGGGGCCTGGCCTGAGCCTTAGTTGTGGTGACCAGCTGCTGTGAGCATGTGTGTGTTTTGAAGTGGTGCCCGTCACTGCTCTAACATGGTTCTTTTAAATGCAGCATGCTCCAAAATTAGGCCTGGCAGTACGGGCCTGCTTCTGCTGTGGCTTTGCTCGAGAAGGCTTGGCTCAGCTGGCCTCAGGGTGTGCATCTATGGTGGGGAACCACATGTGGGTCCACCTCATCTGTCTTCACCGCCCTGGACACAAAGACCCTCTGTGCTGGGGGAACTGGGAGGGTGGTGGCACTACAGCAGTTAGCTTCAATTGTCCAAATGAACGATAACATTTTTGGACAGCGTAGTGCTTTTCAAATGTGGTACCGATTATTTTGGTGAGGCGTAGCTGCACTTATTTCGCCTTTCTGTTGTAGTATACAGTTATATTCTGGTTTAAGTTTTGAAACGTTAACCACTATTTTGTCTATGCTTAATACTTGTTTAGTCCTGGTTTCGTGCAGTCCTTATTTTAAAACAAAGTTGTGTTTTAGATCTGGGTTTGTTCCTTTTAAAGTTTATTGTTTACTCATAGTTTGGTCAACATCACTTTGGAGAATGAATCCCACTGCATCCCACACTATTGTATCATGTGTCAGTCTCTCAGAGCAATCATTTTAACCTCCTTGACTTCAGTCTGCTCAAGACATAACAATTAATTTTCTCTTAAAACGTATGGAAGTCATAGTTCAGGTTTGAGCATTCTTTTATATTTTAAGACAGGAAAATTGATTAAACTTCTTTTTGTCTGTGCTATTAACACAGCATGTTAACAGCTTTGCACTGTTCTAAAATGATGTCAGTATGCTGACCTTACCTTCTCCTTATTTTGGTGAGGTATAGCAGCACTTATGTCACCATTTTGTCTTAGTATACAGTTATATTCTGAATTAGGTTTTGAAAGGTTGACCACTATTTTGTCTACATTTAATACTTGTTTAGTCCTGGATTCTTGCAGTCCTCATTTAAAACAAAGTTCACCTTTGAGCTTTTACATTTTAAGACAGGACTGTTTGTTTGATGTCTTAATATAGCTTGTCAACAGCTTTGCACAGTTTTTAAAATAATGTCACTATGTTAGACCTTACCTTCTCCTCATTTGCAACTATGAGTGTTTTCATTCCTCCTCTCAGCTTCTGCAGCTCCACATCTAAATAATAACAAATAAGTATAATTCACAATAGTTATATCCATTACAAGCAATCCAGCCCAGTGGAAAAAGTTACATGTTATCCAGTTGTAAATATTCTTCACCGAAGTGATACTGCCTTTGCAGAAACCTATCCCAGTTTTGCACCAAACATAGACCTGGCCACAAGCCCAAAGTCTGTAGGCATTAGCTTTTGCGAGGAGAATAACAGTGTGTAAGCAGCAGAAACTATTATGATAGACAGAAAATTGGCTGTAGTCATTATGCTTAGATTTACCCAAATAGAGCACAGTAGGAAGGTGTCAAAACTGCTTCCCCGCAACAAATAAGAGCAGCATAAAGAGAAGCTACATTTCCATATTACTCATGACAAAGCAGCCTCCATGGCATTTCACTCGAGCTTACGTTTGATGTTCAGCCTCTTCCTGTACAAGTCCTCTGGGACAAAATGTAGACAGACATTTAATGATATTTCCACAAGTCAATAAAGAGAACTGGCTGTTACTGAGCTAACTGAGTGGCAGTGACTGAGACCTTCTGTTTAAGAGATACAAGCCTGGGGGTGATAACTTGGATCATATTTGTATTTATTTGTTTAACACAATCCTTTATTATCTTTCATTATAATCCTGCTTATGCAATTGCAGTTTTTCTCACATTCCTCATCAGATCATGGGCACTATTTCTTTAGAGTTCATAGGACTGTTTCTCACCTTTCTCTTCATAATCATTGGCGGGCCCGGGCCGAGACAGCAGCTGAGTGTGTAGGCTCTGGATTTCTGCATTCTTACTGATCAGGAGCTGCTGAAGACTGCTCATCTCAGCCTGTGGGGACAGTCACACAGTCACAAAGTAATACTAGCACGTGTCCGTACATGTCTCCAACGGAAACTTCAGATTATCTACAAAACAACTCAACTGGTTTGATTCAAGACCAGCTCTGACATACTCTTGGGAAACCAGAAAAAGAGGAATTCACAGTGGAGCTCACAGATTGTTTGACTGTTTGCTAATGTTCTGGATTAAACTTTTATTTTGCTGGTAGGTTTAATGTCCAAATATTAATGAAGCAAAACCTAACATTTAATTAGATTTCAAGGCTTTGGGGAAGGGCCAACAAAGAAAGTTCCCATTTTTGGTTATCAAGATGAAGGACCTTGGTACAATGTTATAATTTCACAACTGGTCCCTAAAAGATCCAAAGCTGTTTTGGTTCATTCATTAGTCTGTCAGTGTATTTTTCAAAAGCACTTAGATGATTATCATTCTCATAACTCATAATGGGAACACAACCTTTATAGAATGCAAATGACTAAAGTGACTGCACAGTTTAATCACACAGGTACGACACACATCATTCACAACAGACCACTAAAGACTCAGGTAATTCGAGTAAATTATTTTAAGTCACGGAAAATGAGTCCTTTATATGAAAAGCAAGAGTCAGCTAAGCCCTTAAATGCAGGCTGTTGAAAATCGTCGGGTAGCAGAGGCTAAATAAAAATCTGAGCTAATGCAGGATAAGGTCAAGCCAAACGACACAGCTGAACCAATTGGACAACTACATAATTACACCTTTTTCTATTAAACTGAAGTGTCTGTGGATATGAAGGTATTTTCAGAAGAAAGTGACTCACTCAATTGGCTGGAACATCACACTGGACAGCAGTGAGGAAACAGATGAGTTAGGGGGGAAATGGGTGCTCAAAGTCTAGACACTCTGAACTTAGCATTTGTATTTACCTTGGTAGCTTTCAGTTTCTTCTCATACTGTAACTTCTGCTCCTCCAAGTGCTCTACTTTGTCTTTCAATATCTTCAGCTCCTTCAATAAGCCCTGTGAAACAAAATATGAGAGTAGACTTTGTTCAGATTAGTTATCCCACCAGCACCATACCATTGTTAGTATGGTGCAGTTCAGGCATTCAGAATTACAGAATAAAGGACATTTCAAGTTCTTTCTAAAACAGTGGTTCTCAACTCGTGGGACATGAACCAAAAAATGAGAATATGAAAAGCTGCGTAGAATTGTCATAAAGATTTCAACATACAATGGCCATAAAGGTTGCAGACCAGTTGAGAAGCACTATGCTCTGCTCTATAGTAAAAGCTGTTCTATAGGATCCTGGGCTATCATCAAACATGTATAGCTGGGTATGTCATTGTTGGCTTATAATAAATATCTGTAAGGAAATAGCATCATGTTATATGTTAATGAATACAGATCTGTAATTTAGAAATCTATTTCTTCTGATGCTCATATTGAATGAACTCAGTAAGTAACCTTTTGATACAGTTACTGTTTGATGAAGCTGTGAGCAGTTTAAGGTTAGTCAGGAGCACAGAATTATATAAAATCTATATTTACCACTGTGTACTCACCACTGCTCAAACCCAAAGCACCACTTTAAAATTCCACAACACAACCATTTTACAAAGAAAAGCCCAAGCACCAGAGCCCCATTCAGCCACACTGCATGCAATGCCTACACTTTGTCCTCCACAGTGGCACTGCTGCTGCATTAGGGGGCTACCCTGTCCCACAGGGGCTTGGGCCCTGCGTGGCCCCTCCGGTCTGCGCCTCTGTCCAGGGGTCCTGTCCCGGGATGGTCCCATGTGTGGACTCTGACCCTCAGGGAGGGCTTCAGGAGAGCTGCTGACTGGAAACTCCTGGGCCTTTTTCTCCTGGATCTTGTTATTTATTTCCTTCTGAAACCTACACATCTGCTCCTGCAGCTCACTAATAAAATTCACTACGCTCTGGAAGAGCCAGTGAGAGAGAGGGGAAGAAAAATAAATGTGGAGAGTGAACGGAAACTGAACAAGAATAGTCTACACAGTTCTGTTCAATTTGGCTTGAATGTCCTAATAGCACATTTACCCAGCCTTTTCTTACTTGTACAGAAAATATAAATATCTCATCAGGTTCTGGTGCAAACAGAGTGCAAAAGGATATGGTTCCCTCTGGTTAGATAATGATTTGGCCAGAAATATTGGCGGATAGTTATGGTATTTCCATGAAAAGGGTCAGTAATAGTCAATGATCGTCATCAAGATGACGACAGTGTTCTTTTTTTCATTCCATTAAATATAAATGCCTTTCCGACTCCAAATGTCCCTCAAAGGTAAATACTTCTGTGGTTGAGGATTTGAGCACTGTTCATGCAGAGAAAAGTGTAAACAGCATCTAAGTTATGCTTGGCCTGCGGACAGTGGAAGTCTAGTCCGTCTCCGGGACAGAGGATGTGACAGGCGATATGCAGGGCTTCTGGGTCTAAATTTAACTGTGGCCAATGGAGGGGGCTTTGAATGTGTTTGGGTAGTACAGGCAGCACGTGGGACACGCCCTATGTGTAAATGAAAGAGCTGTTATTACAGGTGATTGAAAATGTTCTTTTGTTTGAATTTGGATTATGTGATTTTCCATTATTCTGTCCAAAAAACACTGAAATTTGTCTTGACCTCCCTCATGCCAGCTCTAAGACTTCCCTCACACAATGACACAAAGGTTCTTTGAGTAGTACTGTTTTCAGAGTAACTACATACACTACAGTACGCTGCCCAGTTTCCCGCCCTCTCAGTTTCATATGCTCACTGCAGGATGTGCACTGGTAATATAATAGTCTTCTAACAGTTGATTCAATTTGAAACAGCAATGGTAGAAACCTCAGATTTTTTTTTTTTTTTGCATAAAGACCATAAAAATAACAGTTATGGATGGAACGGCATTTACTCTAAGACTCACAAAGTGTTTTTGGACTATGAAATCAGCAAATATGATCGGGATTAAGGAACTAATCATTCATATACAAGATTCTTCTTTTAAACTCAATTATCCCATTTTTACACAATAAGACACACTAACTCTGTAGATTAGACCACTACAAATGTGTTCTTAATTTATGTTCATCGTAGTTTCAGAACTTTAGCAGTTATTTTCTCAAATGTTTTTCCATAGACATGTAACAATGTGCACTTTTAAGTAACTATTCTGAGAAATCATCATTTGCATTTGATAATTTTACAAAATTGTTCACCTCCAAAAGCACTGACACTGGTATTGAGTGACTTTAATGTTTTGTTGCTCTTTAATAGTGGTGTGTCATTCAGTAAGTGTTGTCAAATATATTACATTGCGACACTTCACAAGCTCATAATGACAGTGTGTAAACATGCTGTCCTTACCTCTGCTTTGTGCTGCCTGTCGCTGGAGTCCCTGTGTTTTCCCTCCATGTCTGCCAGCTTGAGTTTCAGGTAGGACACCTCCCCCATAAGACTCAGCTTCTGTTTCTCCAGTGACGCCCGGTGCACCAGCTCCTGTCATCCACAACAACACATGGCAGTGCGGAACAAACACATCACAAGTATAGTGGCCTGCCGTCTGCGAAATATTCACCGGGAACAAAGGCAACATAGACTGCTAATGTGTGCCTCAGTAATGATAGTCCGGCCTGACAAACCTGCTGCTATGAGCGGCTAAATATACACAACGCATGACCACTATTTATAATGCTATTTCACAGCTCGCTCTAAGCACACGGTAGGGGGAGCGAGCAGGGGAGTACGGCCCTTAGACTCTTCTTAGAAAGACACTTCAACTAGCTTTGACAGGTGCATTTTCATTGTCACTCACCACGCAGACTTGTGGCTCTTGTACCCCTTAGTCAAATACACTTTTCTTGGATAGAACGCAGTCAATAGTCCCAGCCAAATCTGTCAAACATTTGGTAAATCACTTAACCAAAATCAGTATAGGGCAGAGTATCTGAAACATCCACTTATTTGGAAACCTTCCCAGCTCCCTCATGGAAAATACAGAGCTTTGTCATCAGGAAGAGATTTACTGCTCAAATCCACAGCCTCATTATGACCACGTCTTGGGAGAAAACCGGCCCGGCTGCCCTTTGATACACAGCATTGTACAGCGCTGGATAAGCTCAGCACGTCTTGAGTTAGCGGCAAGTATGTTACCTAATCCATCCTGCTCCAGTCCGCACCAGTACAAAAGTTCAAGTATACCTTCATAGACCTGTAGCCATGTCAGGAGATTAAGTTCTATAAATCCATTTCTGCTGTTGATGAAGTTTTCCTAAGTCTTTTATGGAGTTGCTCTCCTGTCCCACATACGAGCTGCACTGTATGCGTGTGTGTGTTTGCGCATGGAGGGACTTGGGGGTGTGGTTTGTTGGTTTCGCTCTAATCACCTGCCCAGACAGAGCGGAGCAGTTTGGCCTTGCGCACACCAGGCACCAGCGCAGCGCACTGAGACACTGTCCTGGAATGAGACTGTCGGCTCTAAATATTTGGGTTGTCAAGGCAATCTTCAGAGAGATATATTGGAATCCATGCAAGGAATTTCTTCCCACGAGAGACATCTAAAGTCATCCTAGTATGAGCGTAAAAGGGAAATCGGGATTTGCAGACGAATGGTATTAAAGGATAAGACCTTGAGCTTGTCTTTTATCAAACAGTACAAATAAAAGCGAGGAACAGTTTCCTTCTGAGTCCCACAGCAGTTATGACTGTGCAGATGCTGGTACCTGCTGCAGCATCTCCTCTGTGGAGTTGAGCTTCAGCTGGTGTTCCTCCAAAGAGCTCTCCAAGTCACTTATCTTCACCCCCTGCGCCTCCACTTGGTCAGTCAGCACACTCACCTGAATGGACACACACGTTTTTATGTAAATAAATAATAATAATACATGCTGCAAACTCAGAATGAAACTTTTCTGGTGGAGGTTATGTCATCTGTTTGGCTACATGGAGATTTTATTGCTTTGTTGCCCATATTCCACAATTCGGCATCCATCTTTCATTGCTCAGTAACAGTTTTGTTTTTTACAAGAAAATATACAAAGTTACTGTTAGTGGGTTTTTAACTTCACTTGACCTCCATTATGATACATGTTTAATGCTTTACTCTGGACCATTCAAGACAAAACAATAATATGTAAACAAGGTGGTGGACCCTCCAGAAAATTAGTACTACTTTGATCATTATTCATATTGTGTCAATGAAGGAGTCAAGGACTGCATTTACTGCTATTGTATTACTGTTTTGGTTGCATACATACCTAGAAACTGTCGTGCAAGTCTGTTACTGAGTGGGTGTGGCAAGCGTGAGAAAATGTCCATTAAATTTGAATGGATACTCACAATGCTGCCTGTACTATATACACATGTATTGTACATACAGTGCAACAAGCCTAAGCCTGTCTGCAGTGCACCACTGTCACACCGGTTCAATGAGCCTATATTCACACCTACTCCGCAGAACAGGACAATCGGGTGTTGTAAGCTTTACCAAACCTCCTTCTACTGTTGCTTCACCCATGTAAGGGAATAGGGATTGCGAAAGCCTCCACACCACATAATACTCCAGCATACCTTTGCCCTTTGGCTCCAGTCTCTCTACACTGTGAGTAATGTGATAGGTTCTCTGTTTACAATGGTGACCTCTGACAGAAAGCCCTGCCTGGGTATAAACCTGTGAAACACTCTGACCTGTATAAAGCATATCAGCCCCTGGGGTTAACACTTGAAAATGTTATACGCACTGAACACAAACAGAGCACGTCATCTCACCTGCAGAATGAGGGACTCTTTGTCTCCCTCTAGGCGGGACAGGCGCTCCTGGTAAGACTCAGCACTGCCAGCTGATTGGAGGTTCACCTGCAGGTCACAAAACACATTAGCACTACATTTAGTTTGACACTGGGTCATTTCCTATCACAGTAGTACACGGTTTGGTCTTTTGTGTCACAAGTTGTATTTGTGGGTTTCAGGTATAGAATTCTGGATACCTAGGCCTGTCATCATAACACATTTCGAAGAATGATACATTTATAGGCAGAGATATTGCAACAAACAATAATATTGCAACTACTTTATGCTACTGACACAATAACAATAATAATTAGATAATAATTAGATAACAATAACAATAAGATAATTTTAGTACAGTATTATTTAAATAGATAAATAGACAGTATCATTAAAGGGAACAAGACACAAAAAAATAAAAAGCTGAATGAAGCAATAATTAGCCATAGAAGTTACTTATTCAACTCTACAGTTCAAATCTCATCATTATTATTATCAGTAGTACAGCTAAAATCTCTCCACTATTGCACAAAGAAAATGTACACACAATAAATACTGAGCTCCAAAATGTATTGTTCCAGCTTTTATATACTGAATGACTGAAGTCGATTTAGTAATTATCGCGACAGGCCTAGGGGTACCCATCTAAAATGATGACTTTAAAGCTACAAAAACTCTACCACACATAAGTAATAACACATTTTCTTACTGTATAATTGCATTGCTACATTAATGATTTTTTTTTTAATGGTCCTGAATATTTACCATATGTTTCAGTATAAGTTCTGTCCCAAAAAATAAATGGTAAAAACCTGAAAAAATCCTGAAAATCCTTCTTTTTTCCTTTGTCTGTCATGGTTGGTTTATACACTCCTAACATCCATCATCCCAAGAGCTGCCCATTCTAAAGAGGTCTGCAGCCCCTTTAAAACAGCACCAATAAAACCTTTTATGGTTTCTCTGCATCGTATTTCAATGTGTGTGTGGGCAAACATACACACGCATTAGCCACAAGCCCAGATGTAAGTCACTTTGTTCTTTACAACATTCATTTTTTTGTTGTTTTTTTTTTGTTGTTGTTGCTGGTGAATCCTTTTAGTGAATTGGGGAACACATTAGAGTAGCAGTCTTTACCAGCGGCAGCTCAACGGAGGAGAGCTAATGACTCCTTAATGTTACTGTGATGGTATGCATTGTCTCAAGGCTCACTAGGTCCCTATAGGAAGTGATCTCACCACACTTGTGTATACATTTATCTTAGAGCCATATTTTTGTTTTCTTTTACTGTAGACTAGCTTGTGGAGCATGTATACACTGGATACACTGAATTACATATGATGTGTAAGCTTAAAAAAGTATTCAAAATCCCTGCTTTTTATGTAAAGAATGAATCAAATCTTAGTATACATTATATTTAGCATTATTAGTTATCATATCTCATAATCTCAAAACAACTCTGAAAACATACAGTTGACTTTCTGAGCGGGCATTATCTGCATGCACCTTGTACGTTCCACTTTCTCAATTGACAAACAAAAGCACATGCTCCTCAAGATTAGGTCAATGGCAATCTCAGCTCTTTCCCGAACTCACTAATCAAACTGCATTCCAGATATTAAAAGTAATAATTGAGAATCATACCTTTCTAAGCCAAGCAAAATGTCTGTAGAAATCAATATTGTACTCCATTCTGCAGGTCCATTGCAAACGTTATGTAAATTTAGATGCACAAGTAGCTTTTGGTAGTGCGGTGAATGCTGCTATTTTCCACAAGGAACCTCCATGTCACGGGTAGAACTAGCTGTGCTCTGGAGTCTGGCAGATTGAGACTTTTTCAGCTAAATAACTTCATGCTGCCAGTTGGCTCTGGTCCCTTTCTGCTTCTCTTCTTGTACCTCTTTCTACCACTCCCCCCTCCCTTTTCTACCCCCAAAGTACCTCAAATTTCTCCAATGCTGCATCTAATAAGCTCACATCCTCCCCTGGCTGTCCCCTGCAGCCGCTATCTCAAGTACCTCTCCGTCCAGACTGAAGATTCTGCAAAGCTTAGGTTTTTTGTGTTTTTTTTTCTAAAGGGGCACAAAGAAAGGAGAAGTTTCCAAGCAGCACATGCTTGTCAGATGTGGCTGAGGGCAAGAAGTCAATGAATGTGACGCAGGCTTTGAGGGGGATGCACAACCAAGTTCAGATATCTGATCAATTAATGTGAGAGAAAGCATAACCTTATTGGATGCGAGTTGGGGGCAGAGCAAATAAACACATAGGGAATGTTTTTGAATGAAAGGAGAGGTCAAACACAAAGTGGTAGGAGCTGGAAGAGAGCTCTGGATCTCATTACCGCGCTCAGTTACTAGATCCAACTTGCAGCGCACTAGACAGGAAAAGGCTATCCAGATGTGAGTGATCAAAGACTGGACTGAACACAAATGCCACAAATGGAACCTTTGGACTTGACTTTAACAATGGCACCTAAGAATACACCTATTCTCAATTCAAGCAAGAGGACCAACTTTGTACCTGCTATTTATGTTACTTTGTCATGCCTGTGCTCATGGTGATTTATGAAGCTTGACTGATGTAGTTTAAACATGGCACTCACCTCTCCACGCTCCAGCCATTTTAGAATCACATCTGCAGCTTTAGTGGAAACTTGATTTTGAAAAAAGGCTTGGTCCAAATCCTGGCCCTCCAGCGCTGCCCGGAGAGCCTCAGTCAGCTGTAATGCTTTAAGACTGAGGTCCGCAGTTGCTGGATTCAGCTCTTGTATGCAGTTAGACTGGTAATCCACTGTCTCCAAATGCATTAAGAAAAGATCATTTGTATTGGAATTGCCTAAAAGGGGACAAAGTTATATTGTTACCTGGGACTTTGCATTGTAAATGCACAAGCAGCTAATTTTAGACTCACTACCAAACTGTGCAGAAAAAATGTTCTGAAAATAAGCCTGTGGGGGCAGTATTTGTGACATTATAATATAGATATAGATATTAATCCAATTTGGGGAAACAATGTGACTTTTTTTTTGTTTTTGTTTTTGTTTTTTGTAGTTATGTGTGTTTGATATCTGAGTGTGGAAAGAGGGATGGGGGTGTGAGTTTTTGTTTAAAAAAAATCTAAATTGAAAAAATAAAATTAAGAAATAAAATAAATGCAAGATTTGTTTTTGTTTTGCCTCTGCTTTTGTGCTTTTGATTGCTTAAAATTACAGGTATATTGTTCCTTTTTTAACTGTACTTAAACAGTGGTTGTTACATGCAATTACAGCAAGGTGACAATGCAGAAAACTATGTGTGTTATGATGGAATGTGTTTTGCAAAGCCTTGTACAGGCTGAATGGTTTTATTACTTGCAGGTTTGTTTGAAGGCTATTTCTGTTGTTGTAATATTCATGTCATTTGACCTCTTCAAACTATTAGTGTTATGGTGTGATTGGTGCAAGCTGATCTGTAAAATGTGTCACTCTAGTTAGAAAATTGTCTCTAAAAGTTTTACAAAATATACACGCATACTTTGTGTTTTTAGTCTTATGAATGAGCCAGACAATACAAATAAAATAATGATAATAAATTAAATAATTAATGAATTAAATATGTTTAATTTGGAGTATTGCATTTGTATTTGTATTGTACTGAACCCATTTTAGCATCTGTTTTAGTATTTACTTTAACTATCATGACCAGTGGATGTGTTTTGTCATGTATCAACAGCATGTGTATGCTATAAATATAAAGATGATAAACAAATCTTACCTGCAATGATGTCATCCATTTGCTTCAATGCAGTCTGCAACATGTGACTGACATTTGATGCCATGGCAACACAAACTTACAAAACTGCACTTAAAGCCAGTTCAGTGGTTTAAACACACAGGGATCTGATGAAGTGTAAGTCCTTGATCCTTGCTCTCATATTCTTCAGTCAGTGAGTACAGTGGCTGTCCTGACACTGCAGCAGCTTCCCTCCAAACTACCTCCTGAGTGTGGCCTCTGCCTCTAAAGTCTCCTCTCATTATGTGGCCACAGACACAGCCCTTTGTCAACAATTTCCTGCTTGCTTTGCAATTTGTGTATATTTTTGTTACTGACATGCATCAAAACATCTTAATTTAAATTTCCAATCATAAGACGGCTTGTAAGTTTCCCCATGTATGTTTCAAATATGGAAAGTTTTCCTCCATTGGTTGCAAAGAGGTCACTTGGGAATACTGTGCAGGAGCCATGTGGTGGTCAGTGGTGATGACATATGCACTGCACCTCATAATGATGTACAGATGAAGCGAGAAGACACAGAGACACAGTTCCATAATAATGGACACAAATTCTACTGGACTGTTGAAATTTATAAAATGCATAAAATGGGGATATGTGAAGCAAGATTTACAATTTACACATGATATACAATGTAGTGTTACTCTTTATTTATCTTCAATGTATGTACAAATATGTACCTGCAGTGATTTTTTTTATCCACTAGAGTGCACCATTGGGCTAGTAGACCTCATCCTAAAGACAAAAGAGCTTAAACCTTACTGGTTTGGTTTTCCAAAGAGATGATGACATAACTTTACCAATATATTTGAGAGTCCATTCATATTTTATTTCAAAACATTATATTTTTCTCTCTCTTGAGCTATTTTGCACCCTCGCTGCCTTCATTGCATTTAAACTCTTAGGTGTGGTGAAGAATGTTAACATGGCTGCACTGCTGCTCACATAGTAGTTATTACCATATCACAGCATCTATTTCTCAAAGAGCCAGATCATTAGCCCTGCCGGACAAATGATCTTCTTATAGCCCACAGAGGCAGGCCCAGTTTATTTGTCAGTATGTCATATACCAGAGAACATTGTTTGGAGCACAAATGTGCTCTCAGTGTAGCCTTTCCTTAACCAGAATATCTATAGAATCTGCTATAATGATACATGCTATAGATCTGTTTCACTGCCCAATAGCTATGACATGATCTTGTGTCCTGTGTCTTTGAACCACTGCTGTTATGGCTAATGCATTTCACCAGCAGAGAATTGATTGTGTTGAAAATGAGCTACTATATGGAGCAGTGGTTTGTTTACCGATTGCCTGGAGCAGATCCTGTCCCTGTGCCCCACCTGATGGGAGCCGTGATTACAACCCGGCCAGACACACACAGGCCACATGGATGCTGTCGGCTACACTTAACACTCACTGCAGCAGCCTAGCACAAATTATATCATGGCACCACCTTTCGTTTCTTTTTGGGCTCCTTTTATCTTTCTACAAAAATACTGATCAATAGCACTTTCAGCAGATAACTTCATCCATCCTTCTGGCTCACCCCTTTCTCACTTATAGCTGACTGATTTGTTGTATATCTGTATATCTTTTTGTCTACGCCTGGCATGTGGCTCCCTATGGTTAGATTGTGACCTTTTCTTTCAAGGATACTGCTTTTTACCACAGAAAATCATTAATAAAAACATCTTAGCAATAATGATGCCACATTACTTTTTTGGGTGTACTGGCTTTTAGGGTTGTAATTTGTATGCACCTATTGGTATTCTAATTCAATTTGTTTTTGTAAAGCTCACAGTCACAGCAGTAGCCTCTTAGGGCTTAACAGGAACATTGATTTAACCAGTAGAAAGTTAGAAAATGCAGCTGTGAAACAGACATTGGTCAATAAAACTAGCTGTGGTTTATGACTGACAAAAACTGAAAATCATACAGTATTATCATCTATTAGTTACAATGTGAGGGCATTCTGACTTTTTTTTTTTTTTTTACTTGGCTTGGGATTATCACAAAAACTACATTTGCTTGTGAATCCATGCAGCAATTTTGAATTACAGATAACAGAACCCTAAATTATGTTCTGATTAAAAAGAATTGCATCAATTAACAAGTCATTTTTGCTATAGTCCAGTACAGGCAAATAGATAATTATTATCTTATAATGGTGAGAGGAGTGCTCAGATTCAGCCTGTACCTGTATCTGGATGAGCGTATAGCCTACAGATATGTGTCATACTCAGCTCCCACTAACAGGCCGTTAACAAGCAGCCCACCCACACACCTGTGCTTCCACTGTGACAGCCCACTCCCACCCTCTCCATCAGCTCAGCATGCATCATCATCATCATCACACAGGTAGGACCAATGTAATCAATGGGTCAGAGAAATTATGGGTTAAGAAGTACTTTTGGGTGTGAAGACACCGGGGATCTATTTGACTCTGTGATCTGTATTATTCATCACTCAGCCCTCAGACCATGGTGAGTTATGAGCCTTCGTAAAAACATGAGTCAGACTACTCAACGTCTGATTGGCACTCAGACAGATGTGAAGAAAAATACAGCAGCAGTGAAAACAGCGTGTATTCCAAAGTGTCAGTAAGAAATATGTACACAACTTGACCATGGATCACAAAGAGAAACCCTCTGTGTATAGGAAACACTTAGTTATCAGTCTCATGTGACTCTACACTACTACAATTAGCTCCACTGACTCTAAAGCCCATACCTCAATGTAAATAAGGCAATCTGTGAAAATCAGAGTCAGATTAAATGGGCCAGGCTAACCAAAATGATTTATTTATGCAGTGTTATATATTATATTGATTATTTAAAAGTGGAAAACATTGGAAGATATCTTTCACTAAATTTCTTGAATGACTGTCAGTGTGAGCGGTCACACAGACATCTTACCGGTCACTGCCCAGAGTGTATGCCTGTGACTCTTACAAAAATAAGTGGCGGGACAAGAATGACCCATAGCCAGCTTAAAGAGAGTTTGTGGAACTATCTTTATTCGTTGTACATTTAACAGATTGCCACACAAGTACTTTTCTCAAAATGTCACCGCATATCAATCGACAAAACAAGACATCAGACTCCCAGTACAAACACATACAAACAGAAAAATATCCAACCCATAGCCTCATGCACCAATTCACCACTGAATAAAAACAGACAGACTCATCTCGATAAAACAAAAAACATATAATGTAAAAACAAATGTTTGTTTAAAACCCTAATAAAAGCGGACTTAAAATGTCTGCACATCTTTTCATTTCTTCTTTTCTTTTTCTCATGGGACATTTCAGAAAAGACAATATCCACATTTTCAGCCATTCAACATGCAACTGACCCAACAACAACAGTGTCCTTATTGGATGTGCACATTCTCCATAAATGTACAGCAGCACAGTCCCAGCTCCAGTCTGATTGGTGACCTTTCACTGTTCACCGCTCTGGGCTACGGGGACGGAGGAGTCTTCAGGGAATTACATGATCCTCCCTGGCTGCTACCTGTAGTTCCCTGGTACTGTCATAGACAAACACATGTCAAGAGAGTTACATATAGGCAGAAAGTTCAATATAGTTAATGATCTAAATGGAATGTCTAAATGTCATTGTCATTGCAAGACTAGAATGTTCACAGTATGGTATATATAGTATATAACGTATATATATGATACAGGCAAAGCTGATAATCAGGCACATATGTCTGGACATCCTATAGAATGCCTGAAACGACCAGGCAAAGTAGGAAATTAATCATTATGCTCAACTTTGCCCAGGCATTGTATAGAAAACCAAAACACATTTAGGCAGTGTAGACAATATCAATTCATTTCCTACTTTGCCTGGTCATTTTAGTCATTAGAATGCCTTGAAGCCATTTTGATTCTATTTATACTCCAAAAAAGTACAAATCATTTAAAGTGTTTTTTTCATCTGACTGTTTACGTCACATCAAATCAACTTCATCTTTCAGGACATTTCATAAACCAGGGCTAACAAGGTTGTATACTGTAATGATACATAAATTCCTGATGCCATAATGCAGTACTGTGGAATAATCACAAACACGCTATATGAAAAATCCTAAATCTGCCATATGCTTATTTGATATTGTTCATTTTTAATTGGAAGCATTGATCATAGTATCAAAATATTCAGGTTCATGATGCACTATCTGTACTATCTTATGTGTGAATGCATATACTACTAGCAATGAGGTGGTGTCTTAGTATCTCCCACAGTAAATCCAACTAAACCCATTGTGTCTCTTCTGCCTTTAATGAGATACAGCCTTGACATTTGACTGGCAGTCAGGGTTGAGGATAATCTCCAGATGAACAAAATGTACTCTTTAAAGCGCTTGTGATGGGCATTAAGATCATACATGTGTGTGAAGAAGTCTCACTGAAGAGGACTTTGTAAAGCATAACTCAAGGTGAACTTCACAAGCTGAAAATAGTGTTTGTATTTGATTTCTTCATAACATAACTAACACATTCTGCCTACACTACAAGTCAAATGATCTCTGAAAGACAACACATCTGTTTCAGACTGCAACATTGTAGAAGTGTATTTCCTTATACAAACAGAAACTGTGCCACAGGACTGTGTTTCATTCACAAAGCAGGGAAGAGGAGGCCTTCTAGGAAATCCCCTTAACAAAAAAGCTTACCTGGCACCTCACCCCTCCCACTACTGAGCATCTATTTTTACAAAAACATAAATGGTACAACCGTTTCAAATCGCTTTATACCCCCTCTACCACAACTGTGTAGTGACTCTGTCTGCAGCAGTGAGAATGAGGCTATAAGCAATAAAATCATAGAGGCTGACAACCCACTCTGTAACACCTTAAAATAACTACACTTTAATAGTCATAATGAACCAATCTATTAATAAAAAATACTCAGGCTTACTAACTACTTAATTAATACCCTAACCCCCTAATTCCTTGATGAAGTTGTTACTTAGCTCATATTTTTCTGTTCATTATGAATTAGGTACTATTTCATGCTTCATTAAGGCTAATTAAGGTATTGTTATTATAAAATGTAACTCAATTTAATATTGTATAAAATGCCAAACATAAAGGGCTAATAAAACATACAGAAATAGTAAACTATTATACTGTAAGAGCCTCATTGCAGCACCTCATCTGTGCATTTATTTCCATTTGACATATTGGGTGAATGTATTGCATATTCTGCTGGCCCTTTATATAGCCCCAGATAGGCCTGTCAGATCACCTGTCAGATGCACTCACCTCCACCAGGGGATGCCAGTGAGCGACAGGTTTGCGTGGATATGTGAGCATTTCATTCCAGTGATCTCGACCGAGGCTGTCTGCATCGTTGCCAACTCGACACACTCCGATTACTTCATTATGGCCCACTCTGTTTGTGCCAAAGACAGAGAGAATGTGTTCATGAAAAAGACGCATTCTTAAAACCTATGAAACAGATCCTTAAAAAGCTCTCATCAATAAAATGCATGCAATTTAATTAAATCTTAGTGTTTCTTGGATTTATAACCCATGTAAAAGGTGCATGCATAGTAATAAAAATAGATGTTAACCGGTCATAGTCCATCACTGCAATCAAAAGGCTGATCTGCTCGATGTTTTCTGGAGGCACATCAAAGACAATGGCCTCATTATAAACGGGATTGAGCGTGTTCCTCTTCGTAGACGTCTTCCTCTTCTTTAGTCGCCGGCCGTCGCACATTAGAGAAACCTTCACATATGGATCTGGGGATGTAGTGAGGGGAGATGAGAGGGTAATGCTCATATATATTCATGATTACTGCTCTAAAGCACACTGTTTACATGCAGTCACACTTTCTAATTACCAGAAGCACCAGTGATGTCCATAGCCTTCAGATTACGGGCCTTTATCATGGTAATAGTGAGTCGGCCTGCTGTGGGCAGGTAGCAAAGAGAGAACATCAGGTCTCCAAGATCCACATTATCCTGAAATACAATGAAACATGCACAATTATTACAAAAATGCTTATGCTATGGTAATATTAACATTGAGAAAAAAATACTGTAAATATATATGCATATATACAGTATTTTGTCAAGCTATATATAAACATATTGTTACAAAAAATCAATAGTTTTATATGCAATGAAATGAAACTTCCTCTCACCATTCACCTATTTGTGGTCTAACATCTGGATTTGATTTGAACCATGTTTCAACAAATGCCACTGTGTTAACCTGTCAGGAGCAGTGATTTTGATCTTGAGCTAGGTTTGGTCAGGATTATCATGGATGATTTTACGTATTGTGCATGTTTTGGCTGGCCACACAGAAATCACTGAGTGACCCAGGAGTCGGACCCGGAACATTCTTTCTGTGAAGCACAAGTGTTAGCTACCAGTTTCCTCCAGTTGCACCATGTTTGATAGACACTACCCCCTGTAGACTGGAGTCACATTCCAAGATCTGCAGGGCTGTGACCCTGTCTACAGCACAATGCCGCCCTGGTCAAACACACCCTATTTCTATTAGGGATGGGCATTCGATGAAATTTTCTTAATCGATCGTCGGAAGAATTAACGATCGATTATCGATTAATCATTAACGTTTTTATATTAAAATTATCATCATTATTATTACTATCTGCACTACTAATCTGCATAAATAAATTCAACTTTACGACATATAAACCGTAACGACTCTAGAGCCACATCGATCCGTTTGACATTATAATGTGTTTAATTCTGTTTTGCGCAACTCTCACAGAAACATGAAACTTAAAACCGCATCGCTAATTTGCATAAACTAAGCGAAGATAAAACTGCAGCTCTTGTGTCGCTGATGCGGTCAATTTCTGTAGGATTAAAAGACATGATTCAGTGGAATACAGGTTAGTGTGACCATATTTGCGTTTGTCAAAACCAGGACACCGTACAGGAGGTGGGAAGTGGGGACTCGTCATCGACATTGCGCGACTCTCACCTGGTAAAGCTTTTTCCCACTGGACACAGAAACATATGTTCCTGCTTTGTACACTGTGCACATGGACTCACACTTGTCCCGAACGCAACGGAAAGCGTGGAATTTCTTGTACAAGTCATCGTTAAATACACATTTGTGCTTCGGTACGCTGCAGACTGACCGACTGTTTGTGTCTCGCTCCTTCTGAGTGCAGAGAGACTACATGTACGGACCCCTGTTTGGTCACGCTACGCACAGCAACCTACATTCGGTTTTGTCGATTAAAATTAACGTAATCGATGAAATTCTTAATGATCAATTATCGATTAATCATGCCCATCCCTAATTTCTATATATCTTTATATATCTGTATGTGGTTCTTGTACTTCACTTTTTGCCCACTAACTTGTACCCTGCTTAAGACATTCTCTGTACCGATTCTTACAGTTTTGTAGAATATCAGAATGTTTTGCTAATTGAAATAAACCTGGACATTGTGAATGCATATCTTTCACAATCACAAGAGTCTGTGCTTTCCCTTGGACATCTGATCTGCTGTCTCATTGTCAGAACCCTTTTCTATTATAGCCCACACCTCCATCTGCCACACACCTACAGTAACAGCGTGCACGTTTCAGAGAGAGACCAGTGTGGAGCTGGGAGAGGCAGCCGCTTGCTTATCACATGCTCTGAAAATAACTCCACTACAGAGGTGAGAACCAAAGCACACTATACTGTCTGCCTCATACAACCACTCCTAGAACCAAGCAAATGGTCCAGTTGTGTCTACAGTCACCACTTTATACTAAAACTAGGGGTGTCAAATTATCGCGTTAATTGCGATTAATTAATTACAGTCATATTTAGCGTGTTATGTTTTTTAATCGCGTTAATCTCATTTTTAATCTCCAACATTACTGTTTCTGTATGCGAGTTGCTTTATTATAAAACCTGTTTTTATGTGTTGTTGGGACAACAACACACACACACAAAAAACACGTTTATAAATTTTTTTTATTTCGGTAATTCCACTCATTGCCGGAAACCCACACAAAACGCGCGCAGTAAGAGCGATGTAAATGTCATGTTCACGTTGGCGGCGTCAGTCGCACAATGGACGAGGTCGAAGAGCCAGTAGAACAGAGGCAGCAGTGCACAGGTAAAAACACATTCGTGTCTTGGAAATTCTTCTCCCGATGTGAAATATAAAAGAAAATAACTAATATAATATCGCCTACAACTTAAATGTCACTGGTGAAAACAACCTGCATAGGCTCATGTCTGCACTACTGTTCTATACACAAACACACACAAACACAAACACACACCTTCATCATCGTCATTAACCTGAGAACGCCGGACCACGTTTCCTTCCGTAGACACTGCGCGGACACCGACGTGCTCCCGTGAGCCGCGTGTGGATCGTGTTTTCTCGCGTACGCTGCGTAAACCGCGCTTCCTCCTGTGCGCCTCTAAACCAGAACTAACACCAAGACTGAAACCGGGACTAATCCAGTCCAGGACTAAACCAGGACTAAACCAGAACTAAAACCAGAACTAAAACCAGGTCTAACCAGGACTAAACCAGAACTAAAACCAGAACTAAAACCAGAACTAAACCCAGGTCTAAACCAGGTCTAAGCCAGGACTAAACCAGGACTAAACCAGAACTAACACCAGGACTAAAACCAGGATTAATCCATTCCAGGACTAAACTAGGACTAAAGTAGGACTAAAGCAGGTCTAAACCAGGACTAAAACAAGGACTAAAACCAGTGATCTCATATATAAAGCATTTCTCTATCAATAATATTTTTAATATGGTTAAGGAAAGACTGGACTTTTTATTGTCTTTAAGTAGACAAAAGTTATTATGTTCAGATTTTCTAGTCTTTGCTACTTTACAGCAAACAGTTTCTTATTCATGGAGACTTGGGCTCAACAGCCAATTTGGAGAGATTTGTTAAAACAATAAATGACTTTATAAAGTCACTTTTTTTGTTCTATATCAGTCTTTTGATCTGCCACAATAATGTAATAATGAATTTAAATGAAAATACCTCAAATTGAAGACTTTTCTCAGCAATTTTTAGGTGAGATTAAAATGAGATTAATTAGATTAATTAATTACAGATCATAATTAATTAATCTCTCAATTTTTTTAATCGCATGACAGCACTAACTAAAACATACAATATAAACAGAGAGCTGACAGTCACAGAGTTCAGGTGTTATCAGAGCTCAAGGCATTTTCTGTTGCCTTTGAAAAATATTGTATATGGGTTTGGTTTTCTGTGCATCTGTTGGTACTGTAGTGTCAGCAACAGTGAAAGGAGTTTTACAAGATTGCACAGAGAGCTGTATTGTTGGTTAAAGACAGCGACACAGGAGAAGAAGATAGTGAACAAAGGTGGATGGAGTCTAACTGAGATGCTTTTGGATAGAATAGACTTATTTATATTTATATTTATTTACTTTATTTATTTACTTGTGTACATTTTAAAGTTTGAGGTGTCAAGACATCTGATCATCAAAGCCAAAAATGTTAAATTACACTTTAAAGAGCCTATATTGTACTATTTTCTGATCTTTTGTCAAAAACATACCTGGAGTTTTGTTTCATTCACACATTTAACCAAAACTCTGCATATTTAGGCTGAGTTCTCCTCTCAAGCTGAAAACACTCTGTTCCACTATGTGATGTCATGTAGTAATACAGGAAGTGCTCCACTTTGGTTTTGAACTCCACACACCTTCACTAGAATCATTTGGATAATTTCAGCCCTGTAATTCCCAATCTCAGCTAAACAAAAATGTAACTGTTAACCTGAAAACTACCAGTGGTTGACATCACCAGGTGGAGCAGAGTATTTAGATTTTTGGAGATGTAGACAGACTAATAATTAAAAGTTACTTAATCAAACATGTATGAATGAAACCAAACACAACTCCAGGTATGTTTTTGATGACAACATTATAACATCACAAGTCATTTTTGTGTAATATAGGGATGTTAATAATTATAATATTTCATCAGGCTCTCTCCAGATGGAATGTGTCAGCATCATATCACTGTGCCCAAAAATGTCCAAATGTTACAGTCTCTAAACCTTTTTCCATCTTGCCCAAGTAACTTTGTTGCCATATTTTAACCCTGATTGACAGATGGATGAGTGGGAAAGCTCATTACACTGAAATGGCTGCAGTGCAGTGCAGATATTTGCATACACTGTGAGAAGAAGGAGGCATGAGAAAAACATAGGAATTAAGACTTCAGCTAATTACATTTTATGTGACTTTTATTGCCCACATGTTCATGAGTTATAGTCATTACATAAATCACTTGTTTTAAATTCAGCTAATGAGTAGTTTAAACTAGTATCCATGATGTCCTTGTATTTTAGACAGTGGTTGGTCCCTATGTTTAAATGGTCATGTGAATGAATCCAAACCACATTGTGTGTATTATTGTATAAATGATTTTCTTCCCAGATTAAATGTTGACTGTATTATTATGTGTGAAAAGTTGAAGTGGGTCATGTTCACATTAATGATCAGACTCTACATTGTTCACTGTGTTTGTGAGTGACTGAACCAGAGCACGATGGTGACATGCAACAAGAATCGTATTCATCACACTCTTTACACTGCACCTTTCAATAGTGTAGAGTCACACTCTTTGTCAGAGGAAACTGAACTGCTGCAGTCTATAAACTCATGTCATTAAGACTAAGGGCAATCAATTCTCACCACTGGAGTTCTCTTCACTAAAGACGTGCACACACGTCTGCACACCACACATATCTGAGCTATTGCTGCTTAGCTTCAGGACTAACCTCACTTGTTGTAATCAAATACTTGTTCTTACTGAAGGAGACATGTGTAGAATATGAGAGACTAAATGCGTATTTATGCTTTCTGAGAGACTGGGTTTGACTGTGAGTCATTGCCTCAGAACATTTTTTCAAAGGAATATTTTTGCCTCAAAACCAAAGTCAAGTACAATGAGAGACATGACGATGCTCAAAGTTCGACTCTTTTTTCACCGCAGTGGGTTCAAAGTAACTTTACAGTAGTTTCAGAAGCTGTCAGTTTTTCTAAATGTGTTGAATCCATTTACAAGAAGAGACTACTATTTTATTTGAGTACATTTCTGAGGCACCTCTTCTTGCTCTGTTCTACAGTAAATGTCATAAAACCCAATGGCATTCCACGATTTATCCATGTTTTTATGCCTTTTATGATGACACTACATCAGATCAAACACCAGTGATAAAACATCATATGCACATTAATCTGATAGTCTGTGTGAGTGTACAAGAGCCTATTGAGGTAGTGCTGCATAATGAAAAATCTGTAGTATGGATGGCCCTTGAGATATAGTATGACACTTCACATTGTTTTGTTAGTGGAGGAGAGAGGCAGACTTACCGAGGAGACGTATTGGATATCACGGCACAGTTTGGTTTCCCTGGGGAAATCAGCAAGGTCCAGGAAGTTGTCCACCACCACTTGACCAATAATATCATGCCGTGAAAAGCGGTCAAAGTCGTAGACTGTAAAGTGAAGCTTACGAGTGGGAAGCTCAGAATATGCAACTGGGAACAGGAAGACCTCATCAAAAACTGGATTCAATGTTTTTCTATGGACTTTAGTTTGGTGCTTGGTCTTCCGGTCAGGCAGTAGGTAGATTTTTACGTAAGGGTCAGAAGTACCAGAGAAGTCCTTCGCAGGGAGGTCCTCAGCTTTATGAATTTTGACAATTAATTGTTCCAGGTCACAGTCAAATTTGAGGATAAAATGAAGGCATCCACAGCTGCCTCCTCTGCGGTTACCCTCATCACCCTCCAGGGAGCGCTGTTTGTACAGCTCAGGCTTTAGGCGCCCCAAACCAAGACCCATCCCAGTGAGAGAGTCCTGTCTCTGGAACTGGGCCACGTTGAAGTCTGGGTTAGACAGGTTCATGTGTCGGCGGATGGAACCTTGTCTGTAAACAAGACAGAGATCTGTTTTATTTATTTTAAGCCTCACCTGTGAAAGTCAACAACTTTTAAAGGACTTTTACAAATAACTGTAAGGTAATTAATACATAATTTCACTGATGACAAAACTCCTCAAACTACTGCTATCTCCACTATAATTTCTATAGATAGTAAGTAAAAGTGGCATGTTTTCACAGCTCAATACAGACATACAATTTTCCAACAGTATCAGTTATGTCAGTAGTCTCATGACTTGTGAAATGGTTAAATGTGTATAAAACTGTGATGTTACTGAACTGAATAAAAGTATTTTATAAGAAGAAATTACCCATTTGATGATGGCTCCGTGGTCTGCCGCTGTATTCGTGGTGTGGTGTGGACTCCATTCTCCCTAGTCTTGCACTCAGCATCCAGCGGTATGTCTGGAGATGTGTGACTGATCTTCATGGCTGCTTCAGGGGCGGCTTTGACCACAGGGGGCGGGGACATGGGGGACATAGGAGCCTCCACAGACACCACTGATGCCACTGGAGTAGGCTCTCGGGCCATGGAGCTGTGAGAGGACTTACGGCGGTTGTGTGCAGGGGGGTCTACTGCTGTGTAGACGGGCTGCCTCGGGGCAGGCTGGGGGGGTAGGGGGCTCAGGGTGGGGATGAGGTGTCCTGTGGCATCTTTGATGGTTGGAGATAGGCCCCGCTCCCTCCACGGGATCCAGCACAACTTCCATGATACAAAGAGAGACACTCCAAACAGGGCAAGGCCGCAGGCAGTGACTACCAGGGACAGCAGGCTCACTGACACATCTAAGGCAAGGAAAAGAAGCAGGAAGTATGAGCCAAGAGTGACCCCACATTACAGGCTTATGAATAACATTCAAATAGAAGAAAGAAAATAGAAATACTCAAAGTAAGGGCATGTTCTTGCCCCACTTATCTGGAATAGTTTAAACTGGGAGTAAGATGTATGATATTGGACTAGTACCACATTACTGCATGCAGCCCTGTATATGGATGATTTATTGAACAGACAGTTAATTGTTGAAGAAAGCTGATTAGATTCACTGTTACTGTTTTTTCAGTTTCCTGTAAAATCACACTACCTAATCTGGTAACTAGTATACAGAGTGTATGGACTGATGGATCTGTAGTGAATCCTATGCAATAGCTTTTGTTGAGTTTCCTGGTTTTCTTTTTCTTGTATGTGTTTTTTTTCCCCTCCTACCTTTGAAAAGATTAGTCAGGATTAGTATAATATTCTGATAGGAATGAAATCTCTTATCAGCCCCTCACATGCAATGTCTCATATGCAGTCATATTTCATCCTCCTCAGTGATAACACAAGAGGAATTATGTGTTTGAATCAAAGCAAGATATGGTTTTTCGTTCTGTATCTTTAGGAAACCAATGTCTTTACATTAGTATGCAACCCCAAACCTTTATATGTCACCTTAGTGTTACCAACTGTTTAGACTTAGACCATAAACCGTTTCAGTGAATAAATAAGCATTTTTGGCAATTAAGAAATGCTCCATTATATATGTATACTCTGTAAAGCCTGTTATTGATCTTATGTTTAAAATAGTCAAAAGGAAAAAGTATCGACAGAGATTAAAATATGTGTCATAGACTAATGCCAAGCTTAAAGTGGCAAATGGAGGTTGAGAGTGTCAGCGCATGGCACTGAATAATTCTGCATTTATTTGCATCAGAGCATTGTTGTCAGCTATCACACAGAGGATATCTGAAGTTGACATTTCTAGACTATATGTTTTCTATGCATATAAAGCAGCTTAATGTATGCAGTCCATATCAGAACAATATTGAGTGTGTTCTAGTTTTACATAAATTTGAAGTTTGTTGGTCAATAAATGCTCTTTTTGTAATCATTTACAGAGGTGTACAATACGACTAAAGTTAAAATTACAGATATCACCAACCCATATTACTGTACCGTGTCAATGGAAATACATACACTAAATGCATCCATTCCTTAAAAAAGAAAGTGTAGCCTTTTGTCTATACACTGAGTAGTTTGCCGCCTGTTGGTTTAAATCTTGCTTTTCAGTTTAAAGTTTCATCTTAAACAAATGAGCTCAAGTTCAGACAGTAAGGGGAGACCTATTCCTCTGAGTAGACACAGTATTGGTTGTATATGATTCCAAAGGGATTCTAAAGCAGCACCTCAGCAGACTGCCTGTGTGTGGGCACCAGAGTGCTCCTCGCAGACAAAGTGTCCTTTCTGAGCTCTCATTCCTTCAGCCCCAGAAGATGTGTGAGGAGAATGTGCAGAAATGTGAAGGACTTGTCGTGTGGGGACACTCAGCTCACAGTTTGGCAGGCTGCAGGAGCGCTGCTCGGGTGGTGGGGAAGTACAGTCCTGAAGGATTTAAAGACTGGATTATAAAAAGAAAATGTAGTGGGCCTATTTTCAAGCACAGGACCTTAGGAGGTGCAATAGTGTAGGAGGCCAGGGAGTGTTGAAAAGGCAATGTTTTAAGTCTCACATTTTCTATGTGTAAGACAAAACAACTACAAATGTGTTGTTTAAAATATATTCACCTAATACAAAAATAATTTGGCTTGTGTTAACATTTGCAGCAATAAACTTAGGTATTATGTTAACAAGAGATTGCAAAAAAAGTGTTGGATCTCCATTTTTTATTTATTTTTTAAGCTAGATTTAATTTCAGTTATCTATTGCATTTTATCAAAGCATATTACATAATTTACAAATTCATCACACCAGTCACACCATGCAAGATTGAATTGGCCTTTAAAACAGCTCAGAATATATGAATAGTTAAGAAAAGGTAGCCAAAAGGGCAAAATGGTCTCATGCTGATGATTAATCTGTTTTTTTAATGAATGAAATGAGGTGAGCGACTACACGAACATGAATCTGTGCTTGTGCTCATAGTTCACTCTAGTGGTGGACATCACTTGCACCTCCTCTTAGCGGTTATACAATGTGCACTCACCTGTTAGCTGCATGCACGGGTTCCCGAGCACGGGAAGATTTGATCTGGTGTAACTATAAATAGACATAAGGCTTAGAATTGGAATAACTAATGAACCACACTGACTGAGCTGTTTCAGTACTATGCTGTATATGATAGTAGTAAAATCGCAGACATAGCACACGACTTTGGCCCCACTTCCACTTCAGTTCACCTCAATGGCTTAGGAGTGCGTGTGTAAAAGCAGAAGAGATGGTCTCCTCACCTGAATCCGAGTAACGTGGCCTGGCGAGGTCTCGGAAATAGTAGGTGAAATCCAGGCAGCTCTCGTTCGGCACTTCGCCCCTGGAACAAAGGTCTGATAGGAGTTCAAGTGCTTTTCGACAAATCTCGTCATCTTTGTCTCCAGGCATTTCCCTCCACCAGCATCCTTAAAAATGAAGAGTCTCGTGATTCACCAGCGCGTCCCCTTTACAGTTTCCTATTACAATACTATGCTGGCACGGGAGCACTTATCCAGAGGCACGCCTACCCAAACGATCCAACCGACAGCTACAGTGAATTACGATACTGAAAGTGCCTCATGAAATAAAACCCACTTGACAAATAAATAGAATATTTTGACTTAGTTTTGGGTTATGTCAGCGCTTTCACTCCGCTTGCCTGATTGAGAGCCACCGGTTGAATCCACGCGTGGTCACTGCGGCGTCGTGCGCTTTCCATGGTGCTGAAAGACTATGCGCGCACACGCGTTGCAAAGCCGGACTTTCGCTACTGTGAATTCCCGCAGGCGGCCAGTCAACTCTCTCTCTCTCTCTCTATCTCTCTCTCTCTCTCTCTCTCTCTCTCTCTCTCTCTCTCTCTCTCTCTCTCTCTCTCTCTCTGTCTCTCTCTCTATCCTTGGTCACGCGCATTCAAGCACCTAAGAAAGTTGAATACAGCACACAAAAGGAAAGCAAAGGACGCCCAATTCTACACTGCCAATTCTGGCGCGATTTTACGTGGGTGCACGCGTCCAATCAGATGAGCTTGAAGGTTCTCATGTGCTACCGCTGAAGAAGAAGAACGTTTTCACTCTGGGACAATTTCACATGCAAAGTAGCTGTGAGGCTAATAGTAAAATGTCTATCTGACTTCAAGTTGCGTAAATGTAGTGTCAGATTTTAGATGTGCACCATATTACATAACAAATATCCCTCTGTGATCACTGTAGTGAGAGCTTCAGTGACAACCTTCTTTTCTTTTTTTCATCTCCCTGTGGGCCAAATATTGATCATCTTCAACAATCCCTTTGTTCTTTTACATTATGTGGGTGGCTTCTGGATGTACCATCAAAAATGTTCTCATGGGACCCTGCAGCAGTAAATCAAATACATGTAAGAGTGACCTACCATTAACTCTTTTTATCATCATCAGTCCAAATTTTGATGAAGGCACCAATTATATTCTCAGTTGGATGTGTCAAATCATGACATTACACACATTGAGATGGAGACAGATTTGTTTAAATTCGATCATCTTGATGACTTGATGAAATTTTGATAAATAAATACTCTTACATGGTATAGTTAGAATATATATATATAGTGCTCTCTCTCTCTCTCTCTCTCTCTCTCTCTCTCTCTCTCTCTCTCTCTATCTATATATATATATATATATATATATATATATATATATATATATATATATATATATATATGTATATATGTGTGTGTATGTGTGTGTGTGTGTGTGCAAAAAAATGTAAATAATGTATTATTGTGCTGATAGAAACAGGGACAGAAGTGGCATGCATCACTGAGGACAAGTATGCTAAGTAAACCTATTAACTATTTCCTTCTTATGTCACTAATGAGAGGTCAGTGGACACAGACAGTCTAGATACACACAGAAGGTTAACCAGATTTTTGGCAAGAACCCATAAAATCCCATCTATTAAATAACTGGCACAATTGCAAGAGATATTAAATGCTGACTCCATTGTCTTTAGTGAACAAATGATGTGTTTTTGCATCTATGATTGTAAACCATTTCGCACGGCAGTAAGCGGTAAGTCAGCTTTCTTGGTGTCCATGGCAACAGTTAAAAGACAGAAGGCCCCCTTCACCCATTTTTCTTCAACTCTTCTTCTGTCAGCCTCTCCTCTCGGCACAATCTTCTCACACACACGCACCCTTCCCCCACTAAACTTATAAGGATTCTCTCCTCTAATTATTGGAACCTGTCTGCCTCTATTCCCTTATCAGGGCATTAGTTCTGCTTGAGGTTAAAAGACAAACACTACAGGATTATAAAATATCCACAATAATGCAGGCCCTAGCCTTGGTTTCCACCCTAATACAATCAAATTCAATCTTGTTATGCCATTGATGCAGATATTAAAGATGTGTTTTTTTTTTGTCTGTTTGTTGTTGTTTTTTTTTATATAATTTTGTAACAATATTCCATTGCTACTCTCTGGAGATTCTGAAAACTGAGCTGAGTTATTATATTGTAGGTAATTTGAATATGAAATGCATTGTTTTATCATTTCAAATCATTGTTTTGAAGCAACAAATGTGAAGTTTTTTTGCTCTTTAAATCAAACCAAGAATCTAGTTTTCCTGAGAAGCTGCACAAGGATGACAGGAGGGCGCGCAAGATGAAATTCTCCAGTCATTGCTCTTTCGCTGCTCTTTCTCTGCCTCAACATGTTTCTCCAACTTATATAAAGAAACATACACATAGGATATTTCTGTGTCTGGGAGATATATTGTGTGCAATGGTGAGATGTGGTAAAAAGAAAAAAACAATTGCATCTGAAGGGGGAGGGGGTTGTAGAATAAGAAACTGTAGACAGAAAACACTCACAATATCAAAACACTGGATTCATCCTCAAGAATACATCAACTTGTCACTGCAATGTTACCAATGCAGGCAAAGGGAGACTGGCTTCAATATTGTGTTAGAAGCAGAGAAAACTGACATGTGGATTTCACCTTTTTGACTTGACTTGGCATGTACTGGTCATATTTTACCCAAAGAAGGAACAACAAAGACTGACAGGGATGCAGATGAGTAGTGATCAGGTCCAAGACATACAATGTAGCTTAAAGGACCTATATTACATTATTTTCTGATGTATGTTATAATGTTGTTCCCTCATCAACAACATACTCAGAGTTGTGGAGTTGTGTTTTGTTTCATTCACACATGTTTAACACAGAAATCATGCATATTTATAGCCTGATTCATCAGCTGGTTTCAATTCGTGGAAACTGTCTGATGTAGCAGCATTAGAATTCGGTTGCTCGACAGTAGGCAGGTACTTTTTTAAAATTTAACCAATCGCTACTATTTGGTCATGACATATGTAAGGCACCGCTAATGGGGCTAGTATATTAAGCTTTTCCCAAATCTCATAGGAAGAAGGGTAATAATGTCTTTCTCCTTGATAAAATTCACCAAACATTCTCTTTGTTCAGGCTTTAAATCACTGATCTTAGGAATCGTTGCCAACACAGAATGTATGTCTCTTCGCTGATTGGTTGGTGCCTGGACTCGCACTTCCGGAGTTCTTGCAATGTGTATTTCGATTCCAGACCTAGTTACTGGAGAGAAATGAAATTGAGTGGAGACACTAGGTGGCACCAGCCTGGCTAGCATATTTATGATGTGCTCAGAACACACTTATACCTTTTGATTTCATGTGGCAATACAGGAAGTGCTCTACAATGTTTTTAAACTCCATACACTTTAACTAGAATCATTTGGATAATTTCAGATCTGGAATTTCCAATCTTTGCTGAACAAAAGGTAAAAGGTAGCTGTTAACTGGAAAACTACTGCTTAATGGCATCACAAAGTGTAAGAGAGCATTTTGAACTTTATAGATAAACAGATTAATGATAAACCACAACTCCAGATATGTTTTTGATCAGGTAACAAGATTCTAAAATGGCTTAAAGTGTACAAGAGCCAATTTAGCATAATATAGGACTTTAAATTGTTGATAAAGTTACTAAATATTTCAGTATTCAATATTTCAGAGAGTGCTCTAAATTTTATTACATATGATGCTACTGAAAACTGGTTTTAAAATGTTTTCACCCTCATATAATTGGCTAAAATATCTCGTTAGAATTCCCACTGAACAGAGAGAAGGATTTGACAAGCATGATGAAGTTTTGGAAAACACTACACACAACACAACAGTGTTGTGCCCATAATTAGAAACCCCTAATATTGCAATTCAGCAATTGATCGAACCATATTAATCAGCTTCATATAAATTTTAAACAACAACATATAATCATATCATATTATCATACAACTGCAATCTATATATTGTATGTGTATTGTTTATTTCCTTTATTCATCCACTTCTTGAGAATGTTCCCTGATTGGAATAGGACGAAACAGAGTCTTTGATGTAACTCTCCGAAGTCCCATCAGTCTGACAGGACAGATGGAGATAAGCAGGAATGATCACAGATAAGCCATAAATGGTTGTACAAATGTACCCAGGGCCCCAAGGAATCTCAGAACAAGCAATCCAGCTGTGACAGAGAAATGGAGACAGTCCATACCATCGTTTTCATGTGATTTACTGTGATGCACCACCTCGTGACTACAAATGAATATGCTATGTAATTTTAGTTGAGTCAATAGCTTTTATGTCCAATTTTGAAATATGTAGTGTTGCAAAGTGTGGTGCATTGATTCCATTGTAGTGATAAGGTAAGTGGATTTGTAACCACAAAGACTACATAATAATCACTGCAAAGGCTGACTGTTTAGTCATCTCATAAACTACTGCATGGTTTTACAAAATAATAAATGTTGTTTTATGATATAATACATGTTTTACTTTCCCAAGAATTTAAAGTTCTGGCACATGTAGTAATGCAGTCCGCAGAATAATTTTATTCATTCCTGGAGTTATTTTTTTTAAAAATTTTGAAGACAAACAAGCAGGAAGACAGCGGATTAGACACAGAAAACATCTGCTGATTAAAACCCGCCATTGATTTTCTCAAATGAACAGATGATCTATGCAAAGTTCATTCAAGTGGAGTAGAGCCATAGAACTCTTCATAATATCCAAAGTGTAACTAGTGATGTGTGGGAAGAGCTAAAAATAGTACAGGCCATTTTCTGCGGCCAGAGAAAATTGGATTAAATAGAATTTGATTGTAGATATTACTCTCTCAGCTTCATGTTTAGAATTCCATTAAGAAGCAGTTATGCATGAAATGTGTGTACTTTTAGATTCACATCTTCAAATCATTTCCTTCATCTTATCTTACACAGGTTTAATTATATGGTTGAATATCATTTGTCATTAAATTCTGCTCTGTACGTGTGTGAGTGATTGTGCACAGACACTTTTAGTTAAGTCTTTATCATATGGCAACAATAAAGTGTGAACGCA